CAACTGGTATATTAGATGAATCTGTGTGTAGGTCTTCATGGCCACAGCTGCTATCTGTTCTTTGAGCAGGATCTGTGAGTCTAGGAAGACCCCCAGATTGTGTGCCAGTCTTAAGTAGGGAAATGCTACCCCATCCAAGACTGATGTGGAAAGTCCCCTAGCTCTGTTCATTCAAATACCCACTCAGTTTTGTCAGGATTGAGCCTAAATCTTTTTCTTCCTGTCCAGACCCACATAGCCTTCAGACACTGAGACATGGCATTGACACATCACTTGACCTGCAGCCAAATGTACAGTTGTGGGTCATCAACTTACTGATGATACTGAATCCCAAACCAATGGATGATGTCAGCCTTTCAAAATAGGCCAATTCAAGCAGCAGATGCCACAAGAACTACTAGAACTCTACTTCACTGTTGTATGCTATAATAACAGGATCTTGAAAGCCTGCTAGAGTTTTCCTCTGGTTCCTTTGATACTATACAGAAACAAGGAGGGGTTATTCTGATACTGTCCTCCAGAATGTTTGCTATTTCCTTTATCTCTGTGTCATCTGCAAATCTGATATTTTCTAACCCTCTGTAGAAATCATTTATAGATATACTGAACAACACAGGGCCTAGAATAGAGTCTTGTAGTATGCCACTCAATACTTCCCTCATCTTGACATGAAGTAATTGATATACATTAATGGTAACATCTCATGATAGTCCAGCTCACATTTCCTCATCTTCTGTACTAGAATTTCATGAGACACTTGTCAGTTGCTTTGTTGAACTTGAGGTACACTATGCCTGCTGCATTCCTGTGGCCAATTAAATTGTTGACTCTATCAAAAAAGGAGATCAGTTTGGTTTGGCATGATTTATTCTTGATAAAGTCATGCTGGCTCTTGCCAAGTAATGCATTCTTTTCTAAATGCTCACAACCCAACCACTTAATAATCTGTTCCAGAGTTTAATCCAGTATCAATATTAAGCGGTCTGTTTGTATCTGGGTCTTGTAGCTGGTTTATAACTTTTTTTCTTTCTTTTTAAAAATAGGAGCCCCTTCTCCAGGGGCCTTGAGAACTCAACTCAACCTCAGTGATTTCTCAAACATAACAGAAATGGGTTCCATGATGGCAAGTGCAAGTTCCTTCAAAGGCCTGAATGTAACTAGCCTGGTCCTGGAGACTTAAATTTGTTTATGGTGGTCCAATGCTCCCTAGTAATCTCTTTACTTATATTGGATTGCTATTCCCTCCTTTGTCAATTGATCTGCTTAGGTCTATTTGAACAAAGTGGGCAGAAGACTAAAGGAAGAATAGTAGCTGAGGAGCTCTACTCAATCCCTTTCTCCCATTATCCTATCATCTTCTAGCAATGGACCCACTCTTCCTTTTTCTTTCTTCCTTTGGCTACTGACATAGCAAAAAAAAAAAAAAGTGTTGCTTTTACCTTCCATTTCAAGCCTAAATTCTTTTTGTGCTTTTGTCTTGCTAACTTTTTTTCTACAGACATTAACTTTTTCCTAGTTTGCTTCTTTGGTGATTGCACCCATTTTCTTTTATCTATGCATGTTCCCTTTAACAGTTGACTCAATTCAAAATTTCCTGGGCATGTACAAAAGTTTCTAAAAACATATCAATGTTTTTCTCATTGATATGGTATCCTGCAGTCCTTTTGATCCAAGGATTTCTGTCCATGAGAGTCTACCTATCCTGAAATCTAATGTGCATGTATGACTATAGTTTCTCTTTTTATAGTATCTTGAATCCCTAGATGAGGTTCACAGTCCTTTTTCTTCTTCAACCAGTTCTTTCTGATTAATTAGGATCTGATCTGGAACATCCAATTTCCTTGCCTCTTTGCAACCTTCTGGAAAATGAAACAATCAGCTAGAGCTCTGAGAAATTTTAGGGTCCTTGCGGACTTGGGTAAGTTGATTTTCCAACAGATGTCTGCTTAGTTATGTCTCTATTATTGCTATGTCTCTTCTCTTTGTAATCTAGTTCAGGAGAGCTTTATCCAGAACTTCTACCTGGCTGGAATATTTATAACATATACACCTCACCACAATAATAACTAAATCATTTTCCTTCTTGCATTAAGATGTCTAGTTTTTACTCTACATTTACGAATTCTGTGGATTTTATAGATATTGGAATCTTTCAGTCTTGTAACGTGACCCATTCCTGCCAGTATTTACAAGGTTATTATTGGCTGCTTCCACTTCCTGCATACCTCTCCCAATCCCAGTCCCAATACTTGATATCTCATTTTTTTTCAGGCTGTTTTCTCCCTCACCCATAAGATTCAGTTTAAAACCTCTGTGTCGGGCTTGCAAGACATGTTACAAATGCATTCTTTTGAGTTCTTCAGAGGTACAGCCTACCTCTTGCCAGGAGTCCTTCACCTTGGAAATGTATCCCATTATCAAAGAATCCTAATCATTCCCATTGGCATGGTCTGTGTAACCAGCTGTTTAATTCCAATATTTTATTTTCCTGGACCACATTTCAACTGGAAGGATTGGAGAAAACACTACTTGTGCCCCCAATATCTTCCAATACCAGGGCTTCATAGTATATTGCAGTATCTTCAAAGCTATGCCTGGCCATGTCATTTATTCCCACATGAATCAGAATCTTGTGAGTCTTTCCATCACACTCTGCCATGTGTCTCCCAGGAAGGGATCAAACTTTTCTTAATAATCTGTCTAGCCAATAATTGGTGCTTCAGTCCCTCTTAGTATGGAGTCTCACAACCACCCATTGTTTCTTTCTCTTCAGGGCAGAGATAGGAATAATTCTTTTTGCAGAACTGTAGAGTCACTGAGGCTTGTGCCAGCTGCTCTTCATCTAGCAATCAGGACTGGAATCTACAGTATTCTTAACCTCTTGGGAGCTTTATGTCTCATTCCTGCAGCTCTCCATTCCTTCCACTTGGCATCCTTGTATCTTAGGTGTACTAATTTCATCACTCACACAAGGAATATTTTTCTTTAAGTACTCCCTTGTTCTCCCCCAGCCAATGGTTTCCAGTTGGAAGACTATGCTGCTTTAAGGATGGCTGAGGTGCACTGCACAAAACAGTAGAATTGATCAGGGGCATTTCACAAGATGCATCACTTCCAAAGCAGCCTTGGATATCTGTGGTCCTACACAGTATTCAAGAGCTGAATAAATTATTTCTGGCTCAGCTGAAGTGTATTTGATACTCCCTACTCTAACAATTGCAACTTTGGGCAGCATACAATTAAAAAGAACAACAAAATTAACATCAGAATTCAAATTCCTATTACACCACTCTAGGTGGGAACTCCGATCAACTTGGCCCCACTGCCTCAGGTTTTTGACCTTAGTAGGCAATTCAAGTATAAAGGTGGCTTGATAACTTTTCACTTTTTTTTACAGGAAACATTTTGTTGCTTTGCATACAAGACAAATGCATACAACATGAAGAAAATGGGAGGCTCAATTTTTAAATTTCCTTTTTGTGTGGATTTGAAGGAAGCAGCTATTTTTACTCCAGAAGTTGCAGCAAACTGAGGTAGCTATTAAATGAAGTTCTTTGCTCCTCACTCTCAGCATTTTGAAATCAGCAGAAGTGAGGACTGTTCATAAATGGCTTTGAGAGACTAGGAGCAGAAACGTGCCAATGTGGAGCTATAAAATTCTTTTATGATGGGAAGATACTCCTGCCTCTATCATTGGCTTTCCAGCTAAACCTTCTGCTGGAAAGCAAATGCACATTTGTGACTGTATTGGAACAGCCTGGCAACCGTAATGTTATCCTCTGTCTGGCTTAGCTCATCCCAATGTTTTCCATGCTGCAAAATCCCTGTCAGCCACAAAACTCAGGAGTGCAGAAAGAGGCGTTTCATTATTAAGTAAACAGGTTTTTCCTATTCCCATAGCAAGGGATGGGTTCTGCCAAGGCTTCCTTCTGCATAAAGTTCGTAGTCTTTTCGGGATAGTTGTTTCATAAATTCATTAGCTGGATCCAGCAGGATTAAAATAAAGTGTTGGGGAAGTTTAGCGGTTAAACTTCTAATAATGGAAGGACTACCCTCTTGCTCTTAGCAGCGCATTCAAACCCTACGAGCCGCAGCCGCCGCCCACTCCTTTTGCTTGCTCCGTTCTTCCGATGACCCTGAGAAGCCCAAGTCTTCTTGCAACGACTTCCAAGGCGGGAGAGCGCAACTGAGTGATTGCCAGGTCCTGCCGCAATAATCTCTTACCCACTATCATTGTGTATTTAACTCGAATTTTGTTACAATAGGCTGCATTCTTAATTATGGATCGTCTGTAACCCGAGCGTTCCTAACTACCGTACGTTGCTACGGGTCTTCAGGTAGGCGCTACTCTCTCAATCCCCACCGCCGCCCCACGGCCAGAGCGCAAGGAGTGAATAAGGGGGATGTTCTCCCAACCCAACGCGTTGAACATCGCCGCCCCGGAAGAGCAGGCAGCGCTTCGAGCTTTCCCTCTCGCCCCCCACCGTGGGCCTGATCCTGCAAACCCACTGGGGGCAAAGAAGCGAGGACGCAGCCACCCGGGCTGCCTACCCGCGCCTGCCCGTCTCCGCCCTCTCGCCTCGCGCAGGAGACAGCCTTGTCACGCCCGTTCAACGCCGCAGTATTATTACCACTTTTGCTCAAATAAAAATAAATAAAAGGGCTTAACATTACTCTGAAGTAAAGTCGAAATACAAGTTAATAAAAACTGGAAATAAGCTGTAAATTCATTTTATTTTTACAGGAAAAAAAGCCGGATAAACTACCTCCGTCCCAATAAGATAAAAGCGCAGCTCCACACAACGCATGCGTCGTTCTGAAGGCCGCTTCATCACGGACGGAACGCCCTTCTTACCTTTGATTGGGCTGAGTGGATCACGTGGGGCGTCCCCCCCGCGCGGGGCCTCGTCTCGTCTCGCCGTAGTTGCACGCAGCGCCAGGCGTAAGTTGGGGCTGTGGCGGTCTCTGTGGGAGCGTCTAGCGGAGGATGGTTTTCCATTTCCGGTAGAGGGAGTGGAAGCGCATTATGTGGAGGTGGACAGGGTCTTCCTCTTCCTCCGAGTGGAAAAGGGACTCTCCACGGAGAAGAGTTTGGCCAGGGCGGACTAGCTCTGCTTTATAACTTTTGAGTAGATCAGATCATAAGGTTGTAAAACGGAATGGGGAGGAGCCACTGTTGTAATCTTTGATTCACCGATCTTGTTATGGGGCTTCTCCGGATTGGCATAGTCTCGAACTCGTTACCCGATCGCCCCAGAAATCATAACGTCTAAGATGATTGCATATTCTCTTAAAATTTAATCATTACAGCTTACTCTGTTCTACTACTGCCCTTATCCCCTTTCCGCCCCCCCAACTTGGTGCCCTCCAGGTGAGTTAGTATCTAATGGATTTGAAGGCCCCCAGCTCGGGAAGACTTTTTTGTTGTTATTAATAACATTTGATCCTTCTGACTACGGGGCAGAGGTGGCTAAATAAGCACTTGAAATAGAAAATTAAAAATATTTAATGAGTTCTACTTCTTTTCACTTAATTTTCCAAAAGTTTGGTCAAATAGGAAAAGTCTGATTAGTGCTGCTTCTCAAATACATTCAGATTTGGACTCTAAAGTTTGTTGAGGCAGAAGCAGATTCAGTACAACTGACCTTTGTTTTGTTACACAGCCGTAGTGCTTGGACTTGCTTTAAATTTGCATCTGTTACAATTGTTACGTTTAGCAGTAGAATGTTGAACAATATTTGATTATTTAATAACTTGAAGAGAACAATATTTTTGGATAATTTAAAGTTTGGAAATGGTATGGGGAAAGGAGTTAACTGCTTCTGCTGTTACTCCTAATTAAATAACTTTTTATCCCAACACCAATGCCTTTTAATTGAAAGAAAGGAGGAAACCTATTACATCTTATATTTGGGCTTGGCCCTTTCGTGTATATCTTTAATAGAATTTGTGATATTGCAAAAGATTGAATGATCCATTTTCTTCCACAGATTATAAAAGAATCAATTATTGGTCTCAAGCATAGCTTGTACAGTTGTATTTAATTTATGCAAAAGTTTTTACTCAGTTTGTTTCCAAAGTGACGATAGCAGATCTCTGCAGCACACATTTGAATGTTCTTTCGTCTTCTGTCCAACAATTTGTTCCCCAGAGTTCCTCTTATGGAACTCATGTTAACTTAAATTTGGTATTATTTCTTGTTTAAATTACTGTAAAATGCATTACTAAAGTTATGCATTTGCATGATTTATTACCCTAGTACAATGGCAACATGTGACATTTATAAATGGTGGGTGTTTTTTGGTTAATATTCCCTTATTTCCAGTTACACTTTCTGAATCTGCCAGACATTTCTGTATATGCCACCTTTGGTTATGAACAGAAGAAATTTCTGCTGAATTAATATACTTCCAATAAGCAAATAAGAACACTTTAGACCTCCAGTTATATGCATACAGATAATTTATCAGAGAAGGAAACAAATCACAGTTAACTTCAGAGTATAGTTTGTTGTGGTGGTAAATAATCCAGATGCTTTCTGCTTTATTTTTGATAACTATAGCCTCCTGTTTTATCTAAATATGATAAACTGAGATTAATTTTAATCATGGTCTGTTTGAGACATGTCAATTGCAAAGCAAGGGTTATGAAACTGATATGGTTCAATGAACCAAAATTAAGAATAAGCAATTTTCCATTGTGATGTACTGCTAACCTATGATTAATCAAAATAGTCAAAAATGCTATGGGAAGATCTATGTAGCTCATATCACATAAACCATAGTTTATTATGGCACTTTAAAGCAAGGGTGCAAAACTTATGGGCCCCTTGAAATATCTTTTGTGGCCTCTGGAACCCTACCAGAGTAGATGGGGCAACATTGTATGTATTTTTTGCATTATAAGGGGCTTGAGAGATTCCAAGGGGATAAATGGGCCCATGACATTTGGACCATGACAGATTTCAGATGTAATCCTTTTGCATTTATTACAGTTAGATCAGTAATTAAATATTCTTATTTCACATAGGCCCGCTGCAAAAATTAGTATTTCATTTGCAGTTATCAATCTTAAACTCATTCAAAAATCCAAGACCTGTTCTCTGTCATTTCAGATAGAAGATAATGGATTTAAGTTAGAGGAAGCTAGATTAAGAGAAATTTGCTAACAGCATAAGCAGTTTGAGAGTACAACCAGTCTACCAGAGAGGTGGTTGGCTCCATTGCCCTGGAAGTGTTTAGAATTAAATGCTTTAATTTGATTTCCTGCATGGAAAAGGAAGATATGATGGCCTAAATTACTACTTCCAACTTTATGATTCCATTGCTCTTTTACTTCTAATTTTATCAGTGAAGTATGTTTTTCTGAAAGAGTTTATTTCTGTGAAAATGTATTTAGGATTGTGAATGATGCTGAAGTTGTAGGCCATCTAAGATTGTTGTACTTAAAAATAATATGGAGCAATTGAGTTGCATTTGTAATGAACTTCATTGTGGCTTAGAAATTATTGAGGGATAGAAAGTGATGATCCCATATGAGCAACAATACATTAATGAGTATAGTTTTTAGATTTAACATGTATGCTTCATCCTCTAAATCAAATTATATTGCTCCTTTTTACTTGCATGGAATTTTAATGTTTAAGAATAATATGTTTATATGTACACTAAAGAACCCTTCAAAAATAATCTGGAGATTGTTGTTATTATTGTATTTGAATCCGATAGCTGTATCTATCAAATAAAGCAAAGGTGTTCGCACCAGATCTAAAGCACTTAAGGTCTGAATATTGCATAGCCCTCTATTTTTGAGTTTGGAATAGCATCAGACTGCTTCTGCTGAGGTCAGAATAATCTGTTTTGAGCAAGAAAAGACTTGTTCCTGGGATAGCTTGCTAAGCTGTAAATTTGTTCAGTTTGTTCCAAGGTTGGAGACATGCCTCTGACTTCAGATGAAGGAGTCTGACATTGGATTCTTCCCTCTCTTGCTACAATAGAAAGGCAGGAAAGCCCCACTTCTCTTGATAAGATGAGGAGTATGCCACATTAGATGGAGGGAGAGAATCCTAAACCCCAAGAAATTTATTGCTTGCAGTAGGAGGATTTTTTAAAAAAGGGAAAGCAGATTAACAATAGTGAATGCTATTTTTTCCTACTTCTGTTTTGCTGGTGAATAGTTGAAGGAAGCGCTCAGATTTCCATTTAGGATTGCTTTGTTTGCTTAATACTTTACCCATTTACTTGGGAGTAAGCTCCACTGAAGTTAATAGAACTTTTTATTAGATATGTGTCAATTGTGCTATTTGGATACCTTCAAATATAAAACTGAATAATTAAACTTAGTCTTAATTTTTGCAGAATTTGGTACTGCATGAAAATAATTACAGCCTAAATGATGTAATCAGTACTGTCTAATTGGTCAGGTAACTATCTAAAACAGTTTCCAACTTGAATAAAATTAGAGTCATAATTATTTTTTTTCTTTTAAGTTAATATGCATGTATATTCTTGATTAGTTCAAAAATTAGATGGAAACATGTCACCTTAACTATGGAATAAGATCACTTCAGGGTTGCAATTATTTTTTAATGGAATTCCTCTGCATTAGTTGTAGTGTAGAGTACACTGATGAAACCTAAGGAGTTTTGAATGTCTTAATTTAATACTGTATTGCTGCCTAAGGATTAGTATATGGAGAAGAGTTATCAATACTTTCTGTGCCTTCCCTGTGCTGAGAAAAATAAAAGAATGGATGCATCTAGCATGGCTGCTGAATTTTTCAAGGTGTACTTCAGCTCTTCACATGGAACAGCATCAGAACAATCTTTGTTCTTCGATCTGCCTGTAATTCAGTGGTTTAAACTTATTTGTTGTTTGTAGAAAAAGGAATTACTGTGCTTGTACTTCAGGTTCTTTCTGGATAGTGTTCTTACCTTGAAGTTTCCAAAGAAGTGTACCGACTAACTCCCATGAAACTTTCAGAAGATAATTCCTTCTTTTTAATTAAATCTTACACTTAGTTTTCATTTTTGTTGCTCAGTTTTATTGTATGTGTTACTATATTAAGTTATTTTGTATTCTTTTAATGTTGCATGTAGGCATTTTGGAGGCTGAACAGTCGTAACATGTAGGCAGACATCTGATTAAATACATAATTGGTAGATCAGGACTATAGCTGAATACAGCCTTATTCTAAATCAGTTGCATGAATGAATGATAGACCCGTCCAAAAAAAGGTGATGGCATACATGGTTTAAAAAATTAAAAGCTGTATAGTATTACATATTTAAAAAAATGCCTGGGTCTTCATCCAGTTCATTTGAATAGACTTAATAGGAAGCAAGGGAAAGTCAGTTTGGTCTAGTGGCTAAGGCTCCAGGCTAGAAACCAGGAGACTGTGAGTTCTAGTCCCGCCTTAGGCATGAAAACCGGCTGGGTGACTTTGGGCCAGTCACACTCAGCCCCCAACATCAGGCTTGGGCAATGAGCTGGTCGATCAATTCATGTCAAAACCAATGGATCAACATTCAGTTGATCCAAAAAAAGCAGACCCTGCACATGCAGGAAAAACGCTAGGAAGAAAAAAATTAGAAAGCAAGGCCTGTTCACATCAGTGGGAACTACAAATTATTTTATGATGGCATGTTGTAACTATTAATATTATGGCTGGATTGTATGCAAAATTAACAATAGGAATGAGCTTGGGTTTAGTAAATTTATTGTATTTATTTTCTGCATTGGATTTACTTTCAAAAGAATCCTTGAAGTTGTATGCAGGATTTTTTTTCAAACAAAACTGTCCATTGTTATTCAGTGTAAACATGCATCTTTAAATATTTTCATTTATGCAGTACAATAAAATTCTTAGAATATGTAGTCACAGACATTTATCTTGTGTAGGTGAGAAAAATGTAAGCATGTGACTGTCTTAACTTAAAGACAAATATCCACTTCAAAATTAATCTGCAAGCATGTACATTTTGAAAGCTGTGGCATGTTTTAGAAATCATTGGAGGAAACAAAATAAATCCTGCATTGTCTACCACTTCATTATCATTGTAATAAGCATAGAAGAGGTTGGAGAAACAACTTTTAAACAGTTGAAAATATTATGTTGACAATCCATTTCATGAAACCATTCAGAATAATTTTCTCTGGTTAGCATTTCATTAAAAAGACTCGGGTAAAGTACACCTTATACAGAAATGTGGAATACAACTTTGAAAAAACAGTTACTTTCCTCTAAAATTTTTCAGCAGAAATTATTCTTTCCAGCTGCATCCTTCTTCCCAACACATCTGCCCACATTTTCAGTCTTGCCTTGGACAGATACAGGTAGTCTCTGCTTAACGATCACAACTGGGACTGGAATCTTGATCGTTGAGTGAAGTGGTCATTAAGAGTGAAAGAGCTGCTCTTAAATGTTCCTGCAAACGCCAAAGGGTTTTCCCTCCCCTCCATGCATGGAGCAAAAGAGTTGCCTGCTGAACGATTTCAGCAACCTTCCCTGCCAGCTTCTCCATTGACTTTCTCTGGAAGCTGGCAGAGAATATTGCAAATGGTGATCACATGATTGTGGGGCGCTTGGCAATCAGTCATAAATGCGAGCTGGTTGCCAAGCACCCAAAACGCCAGCACATGACTGCCGGGGGGGGGGGTGCGATGCTTTATGATGGCCGGGAGGACTACCTGTATTGCTGTATTGCAAACATAAGTATACTTATTTTGGACCAAGTCCCATTGAAAATTTAGATTTAGTTTTAATTTTGTATGTATAAAATTGTAAAAATGGTCTACTGGTGAAGAATTTTGGAATAGAAAAATGGTAATAGCCAGGACAAGCACCCTCTCTTAACACCCTGCTTCAAATAATTCCTCCCTCCACCATGTTTTATTATAAGAGAGAAAACAGTGTCATCAGGACCCTGAAGGGGGAACAATTAAAGTTATCTGCATGCAAATTTAATCAATAGATAAATTGGCTATAATTTTAAAAAATGAATGACAGTTTTAGGAAAAATATAAATATTATAAACTAAAGAGCAATATTTTTTCTGGAAGAAAATATTACTTAAATGGCATCCAGAGACTTCTGATGTGTTTTTTTCCTCCATCTCTTAAAAAATAGTTGGACAGCATATAGGAAGTAATTTTTCGATGAAATTGTTTCTATGTCTATCTTCCCACCTGCTAACTGTCCTTATAATGTATGTCTGTTCCATTTTTCCTTGAATAAAGAAAAAAACTATAAGTAATATGGAATACTTGTTTCTTATTAATATGGTAATTGCAAATGTATCTGTTTTTCAGAATCTGTCTGGATTTCTGCTGTACTCAAGTTTCAGTGCCAACTCAGTTCAAAGAAGCAACTATGCAGCGAAGGCACAAAGGATTCAATACTGGAGTGCTTCTCCTCCTTTCTCAGCTCTATCAAGTTGGGTTTAACAACATTCCACCTGTCACACTTGCAACTTTGATAGTGAATATATATATATTTTTACAACCCCTGAAACCCTTGGACAAAGCATGTATTAGTGTCAGTTATTGTCTTTACAAAAAAGATTGGCATCGTTTGTATCTTTCAGCATTTCACCATGCAGATGACTGGCATCTATATTTTAATATGGTCTCCTTGCTTTGGAAAGGAATTAAATTGGAGAGAAGGCTTGGAAGTACATGGTTTGGATATATAATTATACTGTTTTCCCTACTAGTTGGAGCTGTATATATATTTCTGGAAGTTATTCTGACAGAACTTTTGGGTGATCCTTCATACGAAGACCAATGTGCTGTTGGTTTTTCTGGTAAGGTGTTCCTCTTTATTTTTTTTTTCTTCTTTTTTATAAGACTATTATTATTTATTGCAAATGCTAGCTTTTAGGAAATAGATAATATGTATTTAGGGAATGTGAAATTAACATGTTCTTGAATGACACGGTGAACACAAGTTTGTCATTGCTATATTTTTCCAGATATCTCGCACAAACGAAACTAAAAGACAAAAACCTAAAATAGAAATGTACATTTGAATATACATGTGCTGATCTCAAACAGATAGTAGCACCTGGCTGATATTTTCTAAGTTTGGAAACCAAACAAATCTGGTCTTGGGCTATAGGCTAGATAGAGAAGTGAAAAAAAAAAAATCCTGGAATAAGGTAGTACAGTAGTAAATTACCTCTTTTCTCTTCACAAAAAATTGCATGGATATAACCATGAAGTCATGAAGAGCTGAGTTTTATTTCAAGACTAATACATATACTGGGAGAAAGCTGCTAAAATATCAGTGGGAGTCAGCAAGAAGCACATTTCCATTGCAGTTTTTTCAGATGTATAGAGTCAATCTTTGCTATTCAAGCAAGGATTACGACAGTCAGCACAACAGAGTTATTTTTAATCATTTCTAATTTTAATCAAATTATCAGAAGTAACCACTTAATATGCCAAGAATTGATGTTTTGGCACTTAGAAATCTTTCTCTGTTCACTGTGTTACTTTATCAAGCTACCCAGGGACCCGGTAATTTAGTTATGGCAGACAGATGCTCTATTCATGAAGTAACACCACAACTGATAAGACATTGACATCTGTTAAAGATAGGAATGTCTTCCAATCCTTACATGTGGCAGGTACAGTAAACAACAGTCTTATACAATAGCCTAAGGACAGAACTGGCTGGTCCTGTTCATCACTACCCTGATGATATCATTTGAGAGGTGTCAGAATTCTGCCTTTGCCCTGTGCAACATTATTTGTTTGTAGAAGTTTTGCCAGTTTCACATATTTAAGTGCTTTCACTGGGCTACTGGTGTCAGCTCCTGGTGTCATTTAAATGGAGGGTGCCTGACAGACTAGACTAGGCTTGCAGGCCTGAAGTTACCTATCTGTGCCCTAATGTTGAGTCTGCTCTTGATCTTCCAATGGCTTCATATCCTTGATTGTCTGCCTTTCTCAGCCAAAGTTTTAAAATAGGTTTACTTTTCAATAAAGTAAATTGAGAGATTTTATCAGGCTTTCCTCAGCCTTTGGTTTGAACCTCTGATCTTAGTTCCAGATATATTTGCACAACATTGCAATTTATTAATACTAATGAGAATTCTTTCTTTCCCCAAAGTCACTGGCAAAATATTAAAATAGTGTTCTATAGAATTTTTATTGGTTCATATTATGCTGAATATACTGTTAAGATACTTGATCACTCTTAGGGATTTTTTTGTTTTGTTTTGGGAAAAAGTACTGGAATTTTTTAGACGTACACACAGATTTGCATATTTTTGCCACTGTAAAATATTGAAATAAATATTGTTATAGAAACTATTTGAATTGTGTTTGAATAAATGGAATGCAAGGCATACCAAGAACAATAGATCCTCCACATTCTTTAGCTTTTATATTACTTAAGAATTTCTCTTGATATGATTTTTCTTTTTTCTTTTTATATAGGAGTGCTATTTGCTTTGAAAGTTCTTAATAACTATTATCATCCAGGTGGATCAAGCAACATTATGGGGATGAATGTATCCAATAAATATGCTTGTTGGTTGGAACTTGTAGCAATCCATGTATTAAACCCACGGTAAGTCTGCTGTCAGTCATCTAGAATTTAAATTACTCTGTATATATGTATCTAGATGTTACTGTAATGAATAATGGTTACATATCAATGAAGTCCTCATCCTATTTGGCTTGTGGTTCTTAATGGAAATATTTGTTTATTAGAGAATAACATAGGGGATATAAGAAGGATTTGTCTGGATTTGGCCAAAGTTCTATTTTATTCAGCATCTTTTTCCCATTGTGCTTAACCCAGACCTATGGGAAACCTGAAAAAATAGAATATGAAGGCAGTAGCCTTCTTCAGCTATCACTTGAACTATAGGAAACAGGAGACATTAGTACAGTCTGAATTCCTGTACTAACTACTCAAATACTTTAATCAAAGTTGCATACCAGACCCTTTACTTTTCAATTTTTTTAAGTACACTTTACAATTTAAAAAAGTCCACAAGACTGCATGTACAAGGGAAAGCTCACACAAAAGTAGATTTGCAAAATATGTATTTTTGTTCTAAGAAAGAGATGTACAAAAATAGATTCATTGCCACAAAAAGCATATACCTTTGTTTTGCAAATTTGGGAACACAAGCTTATATAGTGACGTAGAAATAAATTTTAGTCAAGAAAGTTGAAGTTGAGGAAAATTAAAATTGACAATTCACCCTTCCTTAATTCAGACACACCCTTAACTTTGGTAATGGTTAGTAGTCACTGATATCCATACCAGTCATGCTAGTAAATTTTCAGTGAGTTCCTATTTTTACACATACTCATAACAACCTAGATGATACCAGCATATATTTTCTCACATGCATTTTGGTCCTTTAATTCATAATTAAAGTTACACTTTCACTTTTCAGCTTGTATTCACCATTCCTCAACGGCAACATTAATTCATTCTATTACATCCTTCCCATTTCTCATAACTAAACAGACACAATCTATTTTTCTTTCCTTTCGTTCATTAACTCTTTTCTTATTTTTCCTACATTTTAAGTTGTAATCTTTCATATGCTGTTGTCATCACAGATAGGTCTATAGATGATGATCCCTGCTGTCCAGGGCTTTGACTAATTAAAGCATTTTAGAAAGATGGAAAAGGTTTAGATTATGTTACCAGCATACCATTATCTGTATTCCACGAATAAAGAGGTACAAACAGTGTGTTGATAAACTCCTATTGTATAAAATGAATATGTAATTCATATACTTGCTGTGTGGTTTCCAAATCTTTAGTAATACAATTCTCATGACAAAAAGCCTTCCCAGATTTAAGTAAATAAAGGCTTCCTTGAGGCATAGTTGACTTTGGTAACTGCATAGAGACACCTATACTGTTTTTCACTTCCTTCATCTGGCATGTTTTTGATTTTCAAATTAATTTAAAGCTCTAGAATTTCTCCATGATCTCCAATCCAAGTACTAACCATGCCTGATCCTGCTTAGCTTCAGAGATCAGCCAGAGTTGGCCAGATGCTACTAGTTGTTGAAGCTTTTCAGATTTAAATAATGCAGAATAAAAATATGTGACCTGAGAATATTCAGTTTTGCAAAACAACGGTATATGCTTTTTGTGGCAATGAATCTATTTTTGTACATCTCTTTCTTAGAACAAAAGTACATATTTTGCAAATCTACTTTTGTGTGAGCTTTCCCTTGTACATGCAGTCTTGTGGACATTTTTTTAAATTGTAAAGTGTACTTAAAATTAAAGTAATATAAAAGCTACATCATATTTTCAACAAATAGTTCAAAGAAATATAAAGTAACAAATCCATGTATGTCCAAATTTAAGAAGCAGCTTTTATTTATCCTAGCAACTTCCATATCAGGACTCTTTCACAATTGATATAATGATTGAAGTTTAGTCATTTGTGAAAATGGTTTGTGCAAGATAATTGAAAGGTTTACATAATGTGATATATAAGCCATGGTTTGCTTAACTGTAATTAACGAACAGCAAATATGTTACCAGTTTACCATGGTTTATAAATCACAGTGACTCATTTCATGCAGCATATTCAGAATCAAACATTATAGTTTAATGAGATACATGAAACTCTATCTGTATGTAAACAGAAGGAACGTTCTAGTTGGATTTGCATCTAACTAATTTTATAAATTCAGTTTATGTTTCCTAGGGCTCAGAGGGAATTGAGGAATGCATCAATTTTAATTTTATTTTAGATTTGAGGGACCTAAAAGCCATTTCTCAGCTTTTATGAGTTGAACCAAGATTAGCCCAGTCTTGTTGCTCCTTCCTAGATAGAGCTATATGGGGGTGCTTTTTTGCAAACAAAACCGCCAATTCTCTCTCATAGTCATCTGGAATGTGGAAACAGCTATGTTTTAAGCACCAGGAATATGTGGTATCCCAGGATAGCTCCCTTCATTTCAGCTGGAGGTGCCAGATAATCATTCCCACTGGGATAACATCTTTTTATAGTAATTTGTCAATTGAAGTTAGCTTAAAGCATAGTCATTTTGTAATCTGAAAAAGATTTTTTCCCCTATTGGCAAGTCTTTTATATCAAACATTTAAGTTCAAATGGATTAGAATCAGTCTTATGTACAGTTAGCATTTATTTCTTCAGGTTCTACTTTCCTTTAGTTTATGAATTTTTTAAATGGTTTTAATACCTGAAAGTTCTGGAAATGTAGATAGAAAGATAAACCCTCTATCTTTTCCTTTTAGCTCTTTATCATCTGAATAAAGCATTTGGATATGAGTGTGCAATTTAATAGGTCAGAGGAATTATACTGGATCATAAAAACAGAGCATTCTTTTAGATTATTGTTATTTCTCAAAATTTTTGAGGAATTACATGTTGCTCCTTAAAATAGATTAAACAAAATTTTAAATGCATCAAGTGGAGCGAAGGCTGCAAACTGTGACTAATTTGTCTCCACTGGGATAATGAGGTTACAGAATGTTCCTAATCAGGAACAACACAACATCTCACAGAAGGTTGCTTTCATTTTAGGAGTTCCTTTGCAGGGCATCTGGCAGGTATTCTTGTTGGCCTGATGTACACCATGGGACCTCTGAAGATGTTCATGACAGCATGTGCAGGTAATGATGACCCTAGAACTTCCCAAGCATTTGGTGTTCAGTATAACTTTAAAGTGATTGTAAGTTGTACTTCATAACTTTAGAGTTACGGTATATGGTATGTGTGTATATGAATGTATGTATGTATGTATGTATCTCCAGTATAAATTATTTGATATTTCTTTACAATTCTGATTATATGAAGTTTGATTTAATATTGGATTTTATTTTAATGTTTAATGTTAAAAGCTACCTAATATGAGGTGACTGGTGGCATACAAATTGGTGTAAATACAAACAAATGAATAAATAAGTTTGATGATCCCAGAATATACTATAATTTTTCTACTTTACCTATAGGAGAGAGAAACTTAGATTGTTCTTGAGTAATTTGTTAATGAAGGTGTGCCAGTGGCCATGACCATTATAGTGGGAATGACTGTTGTGTCTTAGCAAGCAGTTCAGATTATTTTGCATAATTTCACACTGTGGGCTCCTTTGAAGAGCATGTACTGTTGCATATGATGTGCTCGTGAACAACACAGAAAGAAATTACGTATCTTTAAATACAAATAACTTGTGAACTAGCTGTGTCCATCTGAGCAAGCTTGAATTAACATTATTCTCAACAGTCTATGTAACTTTCCACAGTTCATTCTAAAGGCTATGCCAGTACTAGCTTTTTATTGTGTTACTTTAATCCTGGAATCAGTATTATCAAATTAAAAAGCCAGATACTAAATAAAATAAATATGTATCTCAGCTATTATCTATTCCTATATTGACATTCACATATGCTTTTACAGACAAATATCTTCATTTAAAGTTTAAACTTGTTTAAAATTAAAGGAACAAATTCAGTAAATATATTACCAGGTAAGAATCAAACAAATATACTTTTGCATAGAAAAACTTGTTAACTTTTTTTTTATGATAGTATGATATTTTACATGTTTATGAATACTCGTTATAATTTTATTTCTAGGTGGCCATATATCTCCAACTGGCTTTTCAGAACAAAGGAACAACTACAGCGCAGGTGAGTAATTTGGATTATAATCTTACAAGTTTTTATCTCAGAGAAAGTTCTGTTGTACACCGCAGGACTCACTTTGTATCAATGTGCGTAGATTAATGCTATCTGTCATCTGAAGTTGTTACCTAGCCGGGTAACAAAACA